CCTGACCAAATGGATAATCTTTGAACGGGGAAGCTTGGGAATTACGTCGGCGAGTCTTCCTTCTGTTAGAGCCTGTTGACACATTGTTCCAGCCGATTTCTGAGCCAATTTCTGACCAAAATGGATAATATTGGAACGTGCAAGTTCCAGAATTACGTCGGCGAGTCTTCCTTCTGTTAGAGCCTGTTGACACATTGTTCCAGCCGATTTCTGAGCCAATTTCTGACCAAAATGGCAAATATTGGAACGTGCAAGTTCCAAAACTATGTTGGCGAGTCTTCCTTCTGTTATACCCAGTTGACACATTGCTCCAGCCGATTTCTGAGCCAATTTCTGACCAAAATGGATAATCTTTGAACGGGGAAGCTTGGGAATTACGTCGGCGAGTCTTCCTTCTGTTAGAGCCTGTTGACACATTGTTCCAGCCGATTTCTGAGCCAATTTCTGACCAAAATGGATAATATTGGAACGTGCAAGTTCCAGAATTACGTCGGCGAGTCTTCCTTCTGTTAGAGCCTGTTGACACATTGTTCCAGCCGATTTCTGAGCCAATTTCTGACCAAAATGGATAATATTGGAACGTGCAAGTTCCAGAATTACGTCGGCGAGTCTTCCTTCTGTTAGAGCCTGTTGAAACATTGTTCCAGCCGATTTCTGAGCCAATTTCTGACCAAAATGGCAAATATTGGAACGTGCAAGTTCCAAAACTATGTTGGCGAGTCTTCCTTCTGTTATACCCAGTTGACACATTGCTCCAGCCGATTTCTGAGCCAATTTCTGACCAAAATGGATAATCTTTGAACGGGGAAGCTTGAGAATTACGTCGGCGAGTCTTCCTTCTGTTAGAGCCTGTTGACACATTGTTCCAGCCGATTTCTGAGCCAATTTCTGACCAAAATGGCAAATATTGGAACGTGCAAGTTCCAAAACTATGTTGGCGAGTCTTCCTTCTGTTATACCCAGCTGACACATTGCTCCAGCCGATTTCTGAGCCAAATATCTGACCAAAATGGATAATCTTTGAACGGGGAAGCTTGGGAATTACGTCGGCGAGTCTTCCTTCTGTTAGAGCCTGTTGACACATTGTTCCAGCCGATTTCTGAGCCAATTTCTGACCAAAATGGATAATATTGGAACGTGCAAGTTCCAGAATTACGTCGGCGAGTCTTCATTCTGTTATAGCTCGTTATTCTTTGAACGGGGAAGCTTGGGAACTACGTCGGCGAGTCTTCCTTCTGTTACACCCAGTTGAAACATTGCTCCAGCCGATTTCTGAGCCAATTTCTGACCAAAATGGCAAATATTGGAACGTGCAAGTTCCAGAATTACGTCGGCGAGTCTTCATTCTGTTATAGCTCGTTATTCTTTGAACGGGGAAGCTTGGGAACTACGTCGGCGAGTCTTCCTTCGGTTAGAGCCTGTTGACACATTGTTCCAGCCGATTTCTGAGCCAATTTCTGACCAAAATGGATAATCTTTGAACGGGGAAGCTTGGGAATTACGTCGGCGAGTCTTCCTTCTGTTAGAGCCTGTTGACACATTGTTCCAGCCGATTTCTGAGCCAATTTCTGACCAAAATGGCAAATATTGGAACGTGCAAGTTCCAAAACTATGTTGGCGAGTCTTCCTTCTGTTATACCCAGTTGACACATTGCTCCAGCCGATTTCTGAGCCAATTTCTGACCAAAATGGATAATCTTTGAACGGGGAAGCTTGGGAATTACGTCGGCGAGTCTTCCTTCTGTTAGAGCCTGTTGACACATTGTTCCAGCCGATTTCTGAGCCAATTTCTGACCAAAATGGATAATATTGGAACGTGCAAGTTCCAGAATTACGTCGGCGAGTCTTCCTTCTGTTAGAGCCTGTTGACACATTGTTCCAGCCGATTTCTGAGCCAATTTCTGACCAAAATGGATAATATTGGAACGTGCAAGTTCCAGAATTACGTCGGCGAATCTTCCTTCTGTTAAAGCCCGTTGAAACATTGTTCAGCCGATTTCTGAGCCAATTTCTGACCAAAATGGCAAATATTGGAACGTGCAAGTTCCAAAACTATGTTGGCGAGTCTTCCTTCTGTTATACCCAGTTGACACATTGCTCCAGCCGATTTCTGAGCCAATTTCTGACCAAAATGGATAATCTTTGAACGGGGAAGCTTGGGAATTACGTCGGCGAGTCTTCCTTCTGTTAGAGCCTGTTGACACATTGTTCCAGCCGATTTCTGAGCCAATTTCTGACCAAAATGGCAAATATTGGAACGTGCAAGTTCCAAAACTATGTTGGCGAGTCTTCCTTCTGTTATACCCAGTTGACACATTGCTCCAGCCGATTTCTGAGCCAATTTCTGACCAAAATGGATAATCTTTGAACGGGGAAGCTTGGGAATTACGTCGGCGAGTCTTCCTTCTGTTAGAGCCTGTTGACACATTGTTCCAGCCGATTTCTGAGCCAATTTCTGACCAAAATGGATAATATTGGAACGTGCAAGTTCCAGAATTACGTCGGCGAGTCTTCCTTCTGTTAGAGCCTGTTGACACATTGTTCCAGCCGATTTCTGAGCCAATTTCTGACCAAAATGGCAAATATTGGAACGTGCAAGTTCCAAAACTATGTTGGCGAGTCTTCCTTCTGTTATACCCAGTTGACACATTGCTCCAGCCGATTTCTGAGCCAATTTCTGACCAAAATGGATAATCTTTGAACGGGGAAGCTTGGGAATTACGTCGGCGAGTCTTCCTTCTGTTAGAGCCTGTTGACACATTGTTCCAGCCGATTTCTGAGCCAATTTCTGACCAAAATGGATGATATTGGAACGTGCAAGTTCCAGAATTACGTCGGCGAGTCTTCCTTCTGTTAGAGCCTGTTGACACATTGTTCCAGCCGATTTCTGAGCCAATTTCTGACCAAAATGGATAATATTGGAACGTGCAAGTTCCAGAATTACGTCGGCGAGTCTTCCTTCTGTTAGAGCCTGTTGAAACATTGTTCCAGCCGATTTCTGAGCCAATTTCTGACCAAAATGGCAAATATTGGAACGTGCAAGTTCCAAAATTATGTTGGCGAGTCTTCCTTCTGTTATACCCAGTTGACACATTGCTCCAGCCGATTTCTGAGCCAATTTCTGACCAAAATGGATAATCTTTGAACGGGGAAGCTTGGGAATTACGTCGGCGAGTCTTCCTTCTGTTAGAGCCTGTTGACACATTGTTCCAGCCGATTTCTGAGCCAATTTCTGACCAAAATGGCAAATATTGGAACGTGCAAGTTCCAAAACTATGTTGGCGAGTCTTCCTTCTGTTATACCCAGTTGACACATTGCTCCAGCCGATTTCTGAGCCAATTTCTGACCAAAATGGATAATCTTTGAACGGGGAAGCTTGGGAATTACGTCGGCGAGTCTTCCTTCTGTTAGAGCCTGTTGACACATTGTTCCAGCCGATTTCTGAGCCAATTTCTGACCAAAATGGATAATATTGGAACGTGCAAGTTCCAGAATTACGTCGGCGAGTCTTCCTTCTGTTAGAGCCTGTTGACACATTGTTCCAGCCGATTTCTGAGCCAATTTCTGACCAAAATGGCAAATATTGGAACGTGCAAGTTCCAAAACTATGTTGGCGAGTCTTCCTTCTGTTATACCCAGTTGACACATTGCTCCAGCCGATTTCTGAGCCAATTTCTGACCAAAATGGATAATCTTTGAACGGGGAAGCTTGGGAATTACGTCGGCGAGTCTTCCTTCTGTTAGAGCCTGTTGACACATTGTTCCAGCCGATTTCTGAGCCAATTTCTGACCAAAATGGATAATATTGGAACGTGCAGTTCCAGAATTACGTCGGCGAATCTTCCTTCTGTTAAAGCCCGTTGAAACATTGTTCCAGCCGATTTCTGAGCCAATTTCTGACCAAAATGGCAAATATTGGAACGTGCAAGTTCCAAAACTATGTTGGCGAGTCTTCCTTCTGTTATACCCAGTTGACACATTGCTCCAGCCGATTTCTGAGCCAATTTCTGACCAAAATGGATAATCTTTGAACGGGGAAGCTTGGGAATTACGTCGGCGAGTCTTCCTTCTGTTAGAGCCTGTTGACACATTGTTCCAGCCGATTTCTGAGCCAATTTCTGACCAAAATGGATAATATTGGAACGTGCAAGTTCCAGAATTACGTCGGCGAGTCTTCCTTCTGTTAGAGCCTGTTGACACATTGTTCCAGCCGATTTCTGAGCCAATTTCTGACCAAAATGGATAATATTGGAACGTGCAAGTTCCAGAATTACGTCGGCGAGTCTTCCTTCTGTTAGAGCCTGTTGAAACATTGTTCCAGCCGATTTCTGAGCCAATTTCTGACCAAAATGGATAATCTTTGAACGGGGAAGCTTGGGAATTACGTCGGCGAGTCTTCCTTCTGTTAGAGCCTGTTGACACATTGTTCCAGCCGATTTCTGAGCCAATTTCTGACCAAAATGGATAATATTGGAACGTGCAAGTTCCAGAATTACGTCGGCGAATCTTCCTTCTGTTAAAGCCCGTTGAAACATTGTTCCAGCCGATTTCTGAGCCAATTTCTGACCAAAATGGCAAATATTGGAACGTGCAAGTTCCAAAACTATGTTGGCGAGTCTTCCTTCTGTTATACCCAGTTGACACATTGCTCCAGCCGATTTCTGAGCCAATTTCTGACCAAAATGGATAATCTTTGAACGGGGAAGCTTGGGAATTACGTCGGCGAGTCTTCCTTCTGTTAGAGCCTGTTGACACATTGTTCCAGCCGATTTCTGAGCCAATTTCTGACCAAAATGGATAATCTTTGAACGGGGAAGCTTGGGAATTACGTCGGCGAGTCTTCCTTCTGTTAGAGCCTGTTGACACATTGTTCCAGCCGATTTCTGAGCCAATTTCTGACCAAAATGGATAATATTGGAACGTGCAAGTTCCAGAATTACGTCGGCGAGTCTTCCTTCTGTTAGAGCCTGTTGACACATTGTTCCAGCCGATTTCTGAGCCAATTTCTGACCAAAATGAATAATATTGGTCAGAAAGTTCCAGAATTACGTCGGCGAATCTTCCTTCTGTTAAAGCCCGTTGAAACATTGTTCCAGCCGATTTCTGAGCCAATTTCTGACCAAAATGGCAAATATTGGAACGTGCAAGTTCCAAAACTATGTTGGCGAGTCTTCCTTCTGTTAGAGCCTGTTGACACATTGTTCCAGCCGATTTCTGAGCCAATTTCTGACCAAAATGGATAATATTGGAACGTGCAAGTTCCAGAATTACGTCGGCGAATCTTCCTTCTGTTAAAGCCCGGTGAAACATTGTTCCAGCCGATTTCTGAGCCAATTTCTGACCAAAATGGCAAATATTGGAACGTGCAAGTTCCAAAACTATGTTGGCGAGTCTTCCTTCTGTTATACCCAGTTGACACATTGCTCCAGCCGATTTCTGAGCCAATTTCTGACCAAAATGGATAATCTTTGAACGGGGAAGCTTGGGAATTACGTCGGCGAGTCTTCCTTCTGTTAGAGCCTGTTGACACATTGTTCCAGCCGATTTCTGAGCCAATTTCTGACCAAAATGGATAATCTTTGAACGGGGAAGCTTGGGAATTACGTCGGCGAGTCTTCCTTCTGTTAGAGCCTGTTGACACATTGTTCCAGCCGATTTCTGAGCCAATTTCTGACCAAAATGGATAATATTGGAACGTGCAAGTTCCAGAATTACGTCGGCGAGTCTTCCTTCTGTTAGAGCCTGTTGACACATTGTTCCAGCCGATTTCTGAGCCAATTTCTGACCAAAATGGATAATCTTTGAACGGGGAAGCTTGGGAATTACGTCGGCGAGTCTTCCTTCTGTTAGAGCCTGTTGACACATTGTTCCAGCCGATTTCTGAGCCAATTTCTGACCAAAATGGATAATCTTTGAACGGGGAAGCTTGGGAATTACGTCGGCGAGTCTTCCTTCTGTTAGAGCCTGTTGACACATTGGTCCAACCGATTTTTTAAGCCATTTTTGGCCAAAAAGGGAAAATATTGGAACGTGCAAGTTCCAAAATTAGGTGGGCGAGTCTTCCTTCTGTTATACCCAGTTGACACATTGCTCCAGCCGATTTCTGAGCCAATATCTGACCAAAATGGATAATCTTTGAACGGGGAAGCTTGGGAATTACGTCGGCGAGTCTTCCTTCTGTTAGAGCCTGTTGACACATTGTTCCAGCCGATTTCTGAGCCAATTTCTGACCAAAATGGATAATATTGGAACGTGCAAGTTCCAGAATTACGTCGGCGAGTCTTCATTCTGTTATAGCTCGTTATTCTTTGAACGGGGAAGCTTGGGAACTACGTCGGCGAGTCTTCCTTCTGTTACACCCAGTTGAAACATTGCTCCGCCGATTTCTGAGCCAATTTCTGACCAAAATGGCAAATATTGGAACGTGCAAGTTCCAGAATTACGTCGGCGAGTCTTCATTCTGTTATAGCTCGTTATTCTTTGAACGGGGAAGCTTGGGAACTACGTCGGCGAGTCTTCCTTCGGTTAGAGCCTGTTGACACATTGTTCCAGCCGATTTCTGAGCCAATTTCTGACCAAAATGGATAATCTTTGAACGGGGAAGCTTGGGAATTACGTCGGCGAGTCTTCCTTCTGTTAGAGCCTGTTGACACATTGTTCCAGCCGATTTCTGAGCCAATATCTGACCAAAATGGATAATCTTTGAACGGCGAAGCTTGGGAACTACGTCGGCGAGTCTTCCTTCTGTTAGAGCCTGTTGACACATTGTTCCAGCCGATTTCTGAGCCAATTTCTGACCAAAATGGATAATATTGGAACGTGCAAGTTCCAGAATTACGTCGGCGAGTCTTCCTTCTGTTACACCCAGATGAAACATTGCTCCAGCCGATTTCTGAGCCAATTTCTGACCAAAATGGATAATCTTTGAACGGGGAAGCTTGGGAATTACGTCGGCGAGTCTTCCTTCTGTTAGAGCCTGTTGACACATTGTTCCAGCCGATTTCTGAGCCAATTTCTGACCAAAATGGATAATATTGGAACGTGCAAGTTCCAGAATTACGTCGGCGAATCTTCCTTCTG